GCGTAGATATTAAGGGGAGGTAACTGATGATTTATCTATACAGGAGCAACTACTTAGCAATAGAATCTCACATGATCGACTGCCAATATTACGATACAAAGTCAATAGCTTAAACGGGGGTGGGGGCAGGAGTATCTCCACTCAAGCCGATAATAATTATTTATCAAAATAACCTCTGTCTTTTTCAATGCACTTGTCACGTCTTCACCGTTAACTACATTATTCGAACATTATACTGTCAAAGTTTAATTTCTAAATTCAGCTGAAACTTATGGCGAACTGACTTCTTATTGATCCAGCCAAAGACCAGGCACACTCACAAACATAGATATATATAATAATAGTAATAATAGCTCGTCACTCGTATTCGAGGATAAATGTCTACTAGGGCTGCTAGCCAATCCCTATTGCAGACTCTCGCTCAGGCACATTTGTGTGTGTTCAACACCCACAGAGACAACCTGTGGTTTATACTGCAACTATGACGATCAAATCTTAGTTACATTTTCTGGGAGAGATTGTGTTATCTAGAATGATCAACAATCTGAAAAACAGCAGCACGCTCAAACACGATGACTTGTGACTTCGTGCTAGAACAGCTATCGACGGCGCCAATTTCACTCAGAAGGCTTGGGTCAACCCGTGGTATGGTTTTCAGTCACTCTCCAAAGATTCCGCACGCTGGGATCAACCCCATCCTCCAGACCGACAACATCAGGAAAACACCTGACAAATCGACTGGTCTAATAGTCAGAAGGCGAACGTTCGAAACACGCGCCCATAATGTATATATATATATATATGTATATGTATTCTGATAGAAATCTCAACAGGATGCAGAAAGCACTGGACGGCCGTTTCGTCGTATATTTGGGACTCATCAGCAGTGCGCATCCACTACCGAGAATTGAAACCCTGACAGTTAGGTTGTCACAAACATCATACCAACTGTTCCACTGGATCAGCAGTGCGCATCAACTACCTAGCATTGAAACCCTGACAGTTAGTTTATATATATATATATATATATATATATATATATATATATATATATATATATATATATATATATATATATATATATATATATATATATATATATATATATATATATATATATATATATATATATATATATATATATATATATATATATATATATATATATATATATGATATATATATATATATATATATATATATATATATATATATTATTCATGAATGTAGACAGAAGAGAATTATTGATTGACAGATAAATGAATCTGAAAAATTAAACATCTGCACATTCTTTAATTTTCTTTAAAACTTAATTACTCCAGTAATTTCAATTTCATTCATTTCATTGTTTCTTTTAATAAAATCAAAACTAGTGAATAATTTCAATATTATTTTTTTTTAATTTCCCCTATTTTTATAATATTTCGTTTGCTAACTTTTATTCGACTCTTTTTTTTCTTCTTCTATTTATCATACATGACGAAGCGTGAAGGCGAAATAAAAAAAAGATACTCGTTGAAATTTTGTTGTGATAATATTTGAGGTAGTCTGGGTATGGTAACTTTGGAAAATCTCATTTTTACACCGTCTCAAACGCGGACCAGTAGACAGACAGACTGTACCACACAGAGAGTCAGCAAATTTCACCCCTGATAGCTATGAAAATCCTGACTATGGCCTCAGTTTGAACATCAACTAGTAGAAAGATCGCAACTATCTCACACACAAAGCTGGCCTATTTCACCAATGCCAGCGACGAAAATTCTGGTCTTAAGATTGTCTAGACCACGGAACAATGGAAAGATCTCACCACACGCAAGTCTATTTCACCCTCTTTCTTCACAAAATGTCGTTTTTCTCGACACAAGACCATGAAAATAGCTTCCAGTGAATCATTCACAAGCCGTGTACTAGGCTGGTCTAATGTTAAATGATTAAGACAATACGGGAAAAAATGATTAACGAAATGACATATCATTTAAAAACAAAATCCTTGTTTTAAGTTTATTTGCTTTGTAAAACATAATACTCCTAGATTATTTTGTAACGAGGTTAATATTAATGACATGAAATTAGAATCCTTTAAAAACTACAACAAATAAAACAACAATAAAAACGTGTTGTAATACATTACAAGAATTTGCATTTTCTTTTTGTGATGTGAATTGCAGCATATTCGTCTGATGTATGTAAAAATGTTCTTGGTGTCTCTTTTGTTTAAAAGTTAGTGCTTACTTGGTTTGGTTCTGAGAGTTTCGTTTGTGAGGTTGGCCTTTGAAATCGTCTGTTTTCGTTCTTCACGTGTGTTTCTGTACTGCTACTTGTCTACTCCGTTCCACGTGGTGGAAAGTTTCTTTTTTATAATCAAGAGGGTTAGGATGATGGCATATCCTTCTTTTCTATCATCACTGATGGCAAGGTTATTTTTAGAATGATGAAATATCATCATCATTCGGGACCATAACAATTTATTAAAAATATTAAGCATTTAAATTTCAACTACTCCAGCACGCACAGAACCGACCTGAGTTTGAAACCGAATCTATGGACCTTTGTTACAGTTTCTAGGAAATTTAGATTGATCAGTAGTTGGCCAAGGCCGGCCAGTACACTCAGACCATCGGTCAGGATGACTTATAAACATTTGCCTGTATCAGCACTGACGGCTTCCGTGCAGTTCTATTTAGCTAGTTTCACTCACATAACTTTGATAAACCCCTGGCAATGATGCCGGGAACTGGATTCATCTCCCCAAGACGATATCATTAGAAAGTCCTATTTTAGTCAAATCCAGCATGGGACTTAGTTTTATTTCCTCATAAAGTAACATGATCATTACTATTGTCAGATACGGTGTTTTCGACCAGAAAATGTAACGCATCTGTGTCTTAAATTCAAATACAATATTTTTTAATCAATACATTTCAAGTAAGGCAACAAAGCCACTAAACACAAGGGGTCACTGAGTATGAAACAAATTATTGAGCGAGAACAATAAAAGGCAATGATATAAGAAAGAAAAGATAATGATTGGTATTGCATTTAAATTTTTAAAGGTCAAGGTTGTCTGAACTGGAAGAATCCAGAAGAGAATTCCACAAGCTAGAACCGGGAGAGAAGAAACTGTTAGCATAGAACTTACGGTTACATCTATCCATTTCTGGTTTTCAAACCCTAAAGCTATAACCACGCTCCCATAAAATATGATATATTATTGATATAAATAGTTTTACTAACATCACTTGGTAAAAAATACCAAATTTGTTTTGAAATCATCGGCTTGCATAATCAAATTTGACATTGCTTTATTATTATCTCGTTATATTTTATACAATGGACGATGTGTATTATTGCTTTTCATTTGTTTCTTTACTCGAATATGTCTTACGGAAGGAGAACAACAAGGAAATAATCGACTTTAATCTTAATTAGAATAACAAATCCTGCTTGGTAAATAAGCCTTGTTGTTTTCGATTTTATCGATTAAAATAGAGATAATACATCATGATAAGAAAATAAAAGATAAATGGAATGTTATGATTCCTTCCTGAGTAAACACAAGCGGTATGGACTTGCAAAGAATCCTCGCATTTAGAATAGAAAAGGATGGAATACAGCCAATTGTATATTACGTCTAAAAGGCCTGATTGATGGCTATAGTAGTTGCGTAGTTAGCTATATTAGTTGTATATCCCGGGTAGTTTGTAATAAAAAAAAAAAAAAGGCGCAATACACATTGTCTCGAATCCAGTTAGAATCCTCGTCCCAGGTGGAAAATTAATCAAACGCAATCCCTAGGTTTCACTTCTCTTTAAATTTTCAGATTTTACGTTGCGATAGATGAATACGTTAAGTGGTTGTCTTTTTGTTGTAAAGGAGTAAAGTGCCGCTGGCAACACTGGAGTTTGAACAGAGATAAGCATTTCTATTCTATCCTCTATTACTATACGGATCACTATTTCTATTATATCCTCTATTACTATTAGGATCACTATTTCTACTCTATCCTCTATTATTACTAGGATCACTATTTCTATTCTATCCTCTATTAATATACAGATCACTATTTCTATTCTATCCTCTATTAATATACAGATCACTATTTCTATTCTATCCTCTATTACTATACAGATCACTATTTCTAGTCTATCCTCTATTGCTATACAGATCACTATTTCTAGTCTATCCTCTATTACTATTCGGATCACTATTTCTATTCTATTCTCTATTACTAATAGGATCACTATTTCTATTCTATCCTCTATTAATATACGGATCTTTTTTTTATTATCCTATTACTAGGATCACTATTTCTAGCCCATCCTCTATTACTATACAGATCTCTATTTCTATTCTATCCTCAATTACTATTAGATGACTATTTCTATTCTATCCTATTACTACTAGGATTATTTCTATTCTATTTCTATTACTATACAGATATCTATTTCTATTCTATCCCTCTATTAATATACAGATCACTATTTTCTATTCTATCCTCTATTAATTACAGATCACTATTTCTAGTCTATCCTCTATTGCTATACAGATCACTATTATTTCCTATTCTATACAGATCCTATCCTATTACTATATCACTATTTATTCTATTCTCTATTACTAATAGGATCACTATTTCTATTCTATCCTCTATTACTAATAGGATCACTATTTCTACTCTATCCTCTATTGTTATACGAATCGCTATTCTATATACTATTCTCTTTACTGATTACTATTCGGTGGTCACTTTTCGAGCGAGTATTATCGAGCAAGTACTATTAGTGCGGGGGTTATTCAAAGGCATCTGACACGAGTATTGTTCAATGGCGTTACGAAAGTGACACCGTGTATTCGTTGACATTACAAAATTGGCAACGAGTGTTCGTTGACATCACAAAACCTTTCCCTTTTAGTGACGCTTACAAGGTGAAGAAAATTGCGCATACTATACGTTGCGCGTGGGATTCCAAAAAGAAAAAACACTTATATGACAGTGAATGCTGGACTCTGATATAGGGACATGTAGTTCTTTTTTGAAGCTGTCAACAATTCTTCTATTTTTGTCATCCTTTTTTTTTTTAATTCTCTTTCTTAGGGCCTTTTCTTCGTTTTGTCTTCCTTCTCCATTAACTTCTCCCTCAATTTTTCTTTCTCTTTTACGTATATCTTCTTCATTCTTTGTTGAATTTCCCGCTCTTTCATCCTCTCATAACGTTTTTTTTTTTTTTTTTTTTTCATTTTGCGCTTTATTCTTGACATTTTGCTTACGCCTCACTTTCTCGTTTTCCTTCTCTCGCGTTTTTTTTTCTTTCATTTTGTTTTACCTTGCTCTGGTAATCCACATTTAAACCTCTCCTCCTTACAACTTCTGCCTCTTCCATTCTTTACGTCCCCGTTTTCCTACCCACTTGCTGTTTTCCCGCCTTCTTTCCAATCTCCTCTCTGCTTCATTGTCCTCTTTATCCTCATGGAATATAAGAGGGGGAAAAGGATAAAAACAGTATCTTTCATCTCTCACCTTTCCATCAAACATCTCTCTTGCTCTCATTTCTTTTGTCTCTATGCTCCTCCTTTCTCTTTATTTATACTTTTCTCTTCTTTTCTTATTGTTTACCTTCCCTTCCTCCTCACACTTCTCCTCCTCATACTTCTCCTCCTCACACTGCTCTTCCTCACACTTTCTAATTTCTGAACCTGTCCTCCCTCTTCCTCTCTATCCTCTTTCTTCCACTTCCTCCCCATCTCCTCATATCCTCCGCCATATTGAGTCTCCTGCTTGTTCGTATCTTTATCGATATTATTATTAATGGCGAGGGTTGATGAGTTTTCCTATTTCCTACAAATATCATATCAGAAAAACTTCACGACATTCTTGTCCACATAAGGTTATCAATTATTTAGATATTATTTCTGTATGGACGAAAGATATCGACTCGACGGCAATATTACGACAGCTAATATTCTTCTATCACACGTTTTCTCACCCCTGCCGTGAAGATGAATTTAAAATATACCCGTTAGAACATTAATTTTTGACGCTAAACTATGCTGATATGAATTTATCATTGCCTTGCATGGCACAAGGTAAAAATACGGGGAATAACACAAAACTGTTGCTTCATCTTGTCTAGAGACTCTGCATTTAGAGGTTTTTGTCAAAATCTGCAATGTTATCCTTCCGGACCCGGTAAATGTATTTGGGTCAGAATGTTTCCAATTTGACAAACATGAGTTTTATTATAGACGCAAGGTCCTTGGGTTTCGTATTGCAACATTTATTAACACTTCGACTCCAGCAACCTAAAAGAAAGAAAAAGAAATCATTGTAACGAAAACTTATCGCTATTATTTAATTTATCAATAAATTAAACAAAAATTACATAGAAATTATGTTAATTCATTCAATATTCATTTAAAGAGCATTTAATATCGTTCTCGTACCTCTTTCTATGTCTCTAGAGATTGGCCTCCTTGTGCCGCGCCAGGAAATTTATCTCCCCGGAATCGATCCTTCAAATCTACAAATCAACCATTCGCCCTTGCATGGAGTATTGCTGCCATATATGGTCTGGAGCCCTTACTGTTTGCCTTGGGGTTCTTGATAAAATCCAGAGACGGATATGCAATGTAATCGGCCCTGATCTGGCATCTCGTCTGCAGTCGCTCTCTCAGAGACGCGACGTCGCCTCCCTCTGTCTTTTTTACAAATACTTTCATGGCAATTGCCCGAGGAGCTGCATTCGCTGGTTCCCAGACTTCATGAGTTCAAGCGCCTACGAGGCTGGCATCCTGTTCTCACCCTTTCACTGTCGAAACTCCCTAAATGTAGCCGTCTTTCCACTCCAATAGCTTCATATCTCGCAACTCTCGCCTGTGGAACTCCCTTCCATATTCCTGTCTCCTGATAGCTATAATCTCCAACTATTCAAATGTAATGTCAATCGACATCTCCTGTTGCCTTGATCTATCCACTATCCTTCCTACAAACCTATAACCCTTGCGTGATAGTGGTTTTCTTTTATTTTAACCCCACCCACCCCAAAATAATAAGAAAATCTAAAGAATCTATAATATTATCGTTTCACCGGCAATCTCAGACTCAATCTGTTGTGGTAAAAGCCAATTATTCTACTATAATTAATGGACTATCCATTCATGATAAGTAGTCCTGGGTAATTTTCTAAAAGAAAAGTAGATAATACTATTGTAGTGACTTGTCTAGCTGGAGTACTGAATACCACCATCACGACCGACACTGTCGATTTAAGTATTGTGGGTTGCAGACCCCACATCACAACAGATATAAAGCCAGTTTCACAACTGTTAGAACTTGGTCAGATGAGAAATTGGCCCCTTGATGCTGTGATCATCTAAATTTTTAGGTAAATTTTAACAGTGGGCTTATACCTTGACACTTTTCATTGCGCTTAGATATTATTGTAGTAAGAGCTAGTTAATTTTAATATCATGAATGTACTATCCATTCATACCCTTTATTGTCAAAGATGGAAGATAATACTATTGCAGTGACTTCTCTAGCTGAGTATTGAATACTACTATAATGACTGATACTTTCGAGTTAAGTGTTATATTGACAGAATCCAAATCAGAACACAATCCTTTCCCACTGCCGTAATGGAGCTTCTCGTTGGTATTTTCTATAAATATTTTAATAGCGATTCTTCTGATGACCTTTCTTCTTGGTTGCTCGTCTTTACGAATTTAATGGATTTTTTTTCACGAATTCTTTCCGAGAAAGGATGATAGATAATATCCCCCATTTTTACAAAAGTTAAAAGGATTAATACAAGAGAAAGAGGTTGAAATTGAAATATTGGTTGAATGATGCCAACTTCTCATTTTATATCACCCGAATATATCATAGTCATTTATAGGTCTACCATACATTCAGGCATTAAATATTGACGTGCGGTCTGTCTGGTCTGGTTTGGTTTGGTTTGGTTTGGTTTACGATATATTAAGAGAATCTTGATAAAATTCAAAGAACATGCAATGCTGTCAGACCTCACCTGGTGTTTCGGCTTCAGTACGCTTGCCACCGACGTAATGTACATTTTTAATACAGATTTTCATGGTAACTGTAATTTGTTCTGATCAGCTTTAGCCTTTACCTCGTCGAATTTACGAATTTTACAGCAATACCAAATTTTCACCTAGGCGTCGTCATTTAACAACTGAAATTGCAAGATGGAAGCTAACTTTCATTATAACAGTTTATCCACTCGCACTTATCGAAGGGGCGAAATAACTTCTAGGCTCATGCTTTCTTGTCAAAGACCAGCTTCAAATTTTAAATGCAACGTCAATTGCCATCATCTTCCTTCTTTAAACTGTTTCTCCCTATTGTTCTTTCTACTTTCTCAGTTTTTTTTAATTCTCAGTAATTCCTTGCGTGACTTATCGGCATTATTGGGGTGAAATGATTTTTTAAGAAGTCGCACATGCGCAACTCACCATATATATATATATATATATATATATATATATATATATATATATATATATATATATATATATACATATATATATATATATCCATACATACATACATATATACATATATATATATATCCATACATACATACATACATATATATATATATATATATATATATATATATATATATATGTATATATATTCATTCAAACAAAGGACCACAAAGCCAGCTTCATAGAAAACCCACATTCAGACTATATATATATATATATATATATATATATATATATATATATATGCATAGACACTGAGGTCAACACTTAATGGCTACAATCCATTGCTTGGATGGAAACTTCAGGCACTTTAGGCGTGAACATTGGCTTCAAGCATGAATCTGAGAGTTGCCACTCGAATGCTGACCTTAGTGGTGACATATATATATATATATATATATATATATATATATATATATATATATATATATATATATACACGTGATCTGTCCTGACACTAGGAAGTTTTACCTTTAAATATAGCATACATTAAAACCATACACACACACACACAATATATATATATATATATATATATATATATATATACATGCAATAAAGGACGCATGCATACACCAAAGTTCAAAAGTTTTAGATTACCTCAGGTAATGTTTTAAATTGGAACAAATATAGTTATCTTTTGCTTTAAATAAGAGAAAACTATTATACACGGTTTAATAAAAGTGAGACATATTTTTTTAAAAGAGAGTTAATGATTAAAACCATTTTATGATTAAATTTTGTTCTTGTCAAAATATCCCACTTCAGCCTTGATTACGGCAGCACAAATGTATGGCATTGGTTGCAAAATTTTGTGAAATTCTTTTTTCAATGACTCTAATATGTCTTTTACATTTTTTTCTGACTCTTTGGTCAAGTTCATTCCATGCTAATTCCGGGGTGTCGACAAACCTTTGAACTATATGAACCTCTCAGAGAAAAATGATGAGTTTGTGAACAGTGACTATTACTGCTTCTAATAGATACGATAAAACGAATCGAGTTTTCCCTGTCACTGGCGTGTTTACCTAAAATTAAACCGTTATCCCTGCCATGCGCTAATGGCTTAGGGGTAGATTCTCCGACTGATACCAAATCCGTCGTCTTTCGATCCCAGCTTGAGGCAATCGGATGCCTAGCTATACTAATGTGGTGTGAAAAAACTAAACAGACTGTTTGCGAATGATAATACATATATATATATATATATATATATATATATATATATATATATATATAATCCAATTTAACCTTTCTACAGATATATTCTGAGAACTTTCACGCGTTGTCGACATGGCAAACAATAAGTTACACTTAGTAAAATAAAGTTAATAATATCCAAGAAGAGACTTTCGCAGGAGCGTCTTTTGAACTACTAGTAACCATGCAATATTTTGCTTTTGTTTTTCATCACTTGTCTTGATAAAGTCGGATGACGAAACGTATCGGTAAAAACTTGAGTACTGTTTTCCGATTGTCTAGGGCTTCCTATGGAAATAATATTCTCTGAGTAAACCCAGATCCCTATTTAATCCCTCAATGTCTGATTTTATTTTGAAAATATATTTCTATTCGGACCTGCGTCTTTCGTGTCAGCTGTTGAATGAAGAATCTAAAAGCACGCATCTGAGTTCATCAATGTTATGAAAAGGTCGGTTGAAGTGTGTAGAGACAGGAGTTGGTATCGTATTTGATGTGTTTTTTTATGGTTATTGAAGCGAAGACGGAATTCCATGCCTGTGCCTTCATCATTATTATCGTATTTGTAGCAGAAAAAATATATATAAGATGTGAAGTGTCAAAAGTCCGAGGCGGTGGTCTGAATATTGCGTGAGTGCCAGTGTTTGTGAAATTGTTTTCAGCGATGATATGTTTCCAGACTTGGCATCGGGTTTTATTTCAGGTAATATTCTCTTGGTGAGGTGGTGAATTATGTATGCCGGATGATGTTAGAAGTTTATGGAAATTGGGTGGGGGGTGACGCATAGCGTTAAGTGGGTTGTTGCTGAATTGCTGAATATCTAACTGTTTGGTTGAGTTTTATAAACTGGGAAAGCTTGTCAATATTGTAATTAAAATAAAAAAAAATCATGGAAATTTTTCTTCGTGCTTCAATTTATTTAAAAGTCTAATAAGACATGAAACTTTCGTTTTATGATATATATATATATATATATATATATATATATATATATATTTTATTTATATATATATATATATATATATATATATATATATATATATATATATATATATATATAAATATATATATATATATATATATATATATATATAT